TGTGCCTGGGCTGCCTGAAAAGCGAAATTCTGGTGTGTTTGTGACTGAGCCTACTTTTCTCTGTATGTCTTGGGCCTCCATCCAGCAGAGAGGAGGCCTAATTTATACCCCCAGAGAGATTTTTGTCTTTGGATCTTAGGCTTGTATGATGCAGGTAGTCCAAAAGCATGCTGTCCTCTGCCTTTCCTGCTGGAGAGCTCCAACATGGACAGCTATGCCTACATGCATTAAAGAAAACTTACATACAGTAAAAGCAACTCTGATTATATTGAAGTTGTATGTTTTGCACTTCTGGGAAGTACCTTTCATCCTCAAAAGGAGCGAGTTTTTCTCGCTTCGATTTCGCTGCGTCTCACGATGCTGAAAGAGCCGTCAGTACCAAATCCAGGCTGTCTGTGCCACGGTCCACGTAGCAATCGTTTTCACTCATGGGGAAAGTCGTAGGTGCTGCTTTTTTTCACTTGCTGTGGCTGCCTTTTAATTTCCAAACATGGGCCGCCTTGTAGTGCGAGACCCTGCTTTTGTCAGGTGAGTCACAGGCTGTCCTGGCTGGTACGTGCCGAGTGATGTGGCTGTAAATGTTGCCCTTGTCTTAAAACGCCAGCCTGTAAGTAAAAAACCACACATATGGTCTTGGGTGGTAAGTGCGCTCGGCTTTTATGGAAAAAATGGAAGCGAAGGGTGCTCAGTACCTGGAGTATCAAACTGGTAGGAAGTTTAGCTGCAGGGAAGAAAAAGATGCATTTCTGGGTAGTTAGGAACCTTATTTTGCTTAAATGCATGAAAAGTGCCCTTCAGATTCTAAAAGATGAGTTACTGTCAGGTTTGAGACCATCTAAGGAACCCGAAAGTGCACAAGTCCATGGACCTGATGAGGTGCATCTGCACGTTGAGCCGCTGCAGCGCCTGCAAAGTCGCTGTGATCTCTGGGCTCTAGCATGGCCACCCTAATTTTCCCTAAAACACACGTGCAACCCGATGTTTCCGTCTTAAAAGCCCTGGCACCTCTACGTGCCAGTTTCCAGTGCAGGAAAGAGTTCCTGGTTATATTTGTTCCATGGTTTGCAGTTCTACTGGCTGCCAGGCCATCCGTGTCGTGGCGTTACGGTCACCCCAGGGAACTGGCTTTGCAGGCACTTTTGAGACCCCAAATCCTGGTTCTTCACCCGTGGGTAACGGCTTTTCTAGCTCTGTTTCTAACCTCCCCTCTTCAGAAGATCAATTCGTTCTGGCTCGCCTGGCCGCAGGGCTCAGCCTGGCTGTGCTCACTGGGACCATGAGGAAGGTACCGAATGTTGTGCCAGTTATCGACCGGTCACCAACCGTGTCCTGGGCTGCATCCAACGCAGCGTGGGCAGCAGGTCAGGGAGGGGATTCTGCCCCTCTGCTCTGCTCTCCTGAGACCCCCCTGCAGTGCTGCGTTCAGCTCTGGGGTCTCCAGCACAAGAAGGACACGGGGCTGTTGGAGCGGGTCCAGAGGAGGCCACAAAGATGATGTGAGGGCTGGAGCACCCCTGCTACGGAGACAGGCTGAGAGAGTTGGGGCTGTTCAGCCTGCAGAAGAGAAGGCTCCAGGGAGACCTTCCAGCAGGTTTGCAGTGCCAGGTATCCCTTTCTTTTGCCCTTCCAGTTCCATCATTAGGACTTGAACAACCGACTCTAAGAGTCTTGAATTTAATTAACCCTGACTTTGCTGCAGCTAGATGCTGAACATGTCTCAACAGAAGAGAAAGACCAGATGGGGCACCGTACCTCTCCTTCTTGCACCACTCCCAGCCATCGAAGCCCCATCATCTCCTGCCTTCAGTCGGAAGCCGTTCGGGTCAGGAATGTGGCAGCTGAGGAGGCTGGTTGCAGATGTGTGTTCTGGCAGCACAGCTGCAGGAGGAGGCAACACCATGGAAGGAAAGAGGAACCAGCAGCTTCTTCCTGGCAGGTTCTCTCCTTAGGAAAAGAGGGTTCTCACCATGTTTTAGCAACACCGCAAAAAAGTTGGAAACTTCATTACTACTTCACATCAAAATTTTCAAATTCTGGCACGCAAAGCCTTGAGGACACACTCAAAAAGTTCCACAATGGCAGAAAACGTATTTCAAAAAGTACAAGCTTTGCAATATGTGTGTTCAAACAATAAAGCTGTTTCCTTTGGAATATTTGTCGTGGTTTAACCTGGCCAGCACTGAGCGCCACGGCAGCCGCTCGCTTATGTTCCCCACCTCCAAGAATGGGAAGAGAATTAAAGGGGAAAAGGGAAGGAGACTCGTGGGTTGAGATAAGAACAATTTAATAATAATATAAAAGTAAAAATGATAAAATGATAAATGAATATACACAAACAAGTGATGCACAGTGTAATCACTCACCACCTGGTGACCAACACCTGTCCCATCCCAGCAAGCAATCCCAAAACAGGTAAGTCCTGACACCGCAATCCTGGCGGAATGAGAGGCCCAGAGAGAGAGAATTCAAAGTCTGAGAGAGTCCCCACAGCGGGGAGAGGGAGAGAATGAGAATTCCAAACTTTCCAGCCAGCCCTCACCTATACACTGGGCATGACGCTGCATGATATGGAATACTCCATTGGACAATTTAGCCCTCAATCCTAAGTGTAAATTCAAATCATAAGGGGAGTTGTGGTGTCCCGGCCGTGCTCCCCCCCAGCCTGTTGTGCTCCTGCACACTGGCAAAACACGGGAAGCTGGAAAGCCCTTGATGTCTCAGCACCAACTGTAACCATCAGTGCGCTGTCAACGTTCTACTCACAGCAAATCCCAGACTAAATCCCAAACCCAGAGCTCTTCTGGCTGCTACAAAGAAGAGCTAACTCTGTCCCAGCTGAAACCAGGACAGTGTTGCAAAAAAAATCCCTTTTGTTGTCTTAATGGAATTACTTTATAATTTTTATATTTTAAAATTTTAATTTTTTTTTAAAAAATACTCAAAAAATGACTGACCTTTGTATTGGTATCATCTACCAAATTTAACTCTATTGGTCATGGTTTCCTTTAGTGTTGTGCCAAACCTGTTTAACTTGCCAGCGGTGCTGCCAAGAGCCGGGCTGCATTTCCAGGAGTCCTTACAAACTGCGGCATCTGGCTGTAGTTTCAGGAAACCACACCGCACACAGCTTCCCCCAGAGACAATCCCACTTGCAGTGGGATTTAGGACAGGTTTGGGATGGGGAGAAACAACGAGAGGGTGGCAGGCATCCCGTGCGACCATCAGACCGACTGCACCGGTGCAGCCAGAGCCCGCACGGAGTGTCCCGCCCCAGTAGCCACGGAAGAGTCACCAGTGAGATGATGTTTGTGCTGAGGTTTGACTTACCCCAATGTGCTGCCCACTCTCAGCCCCCTCTGTCCTGTCTGAGGCTGCAAAGCAGCAGCCTTGAGCCATCCCTTCTTCACAGACATCTGGAAATTAATTAAAGACTCAAGTCTAAGCCAAATTAATCCATTTCAAGGTTCAAGGTTTTCAAGTTCAAGACAGAGATGCTAAGAATTAGGGGGAAAACCCAAAATTTTTTCTCAGAAATTAAATGAGCCAATGAAAAGTAGATTAGGACAGGGAGAAACAAAGGCAAAGCTAAAAAGATCTTCCTCCAGCTCTCTTTCTTCCCAGGCTCAACTCCCTTCTCCCCATCCAAGCAGCGCACAGAGAAAGGGGAGTTCGAGTCAGTCCATAACATTTTGTCTCTGCTGCTCCTTCCTCACACTCTTCCTCTACTCCAGCGTGTGGTCTTTCCCACAGGATACAGTCCTTGAAGAACTGCTCCAGCATGGGACCCCCGCCCCCCCCAGGTCCCTCCCAGCAAACCTGCTCCTGTGTGGGCTCCAGCTTCCTGCAGAGCATGTCCACCTGCTACAGCGTGGGGTCCTCCGGGGGCTGCAGGGTTGGTATCTGCTCCACCATGGTCCTCCACAGGCTGCAGTGGGACAACCTGCTTCCCCATGGCCTTCTCCATGGGCTGGAGGGGAATCTCTGCTCCAGCACCTCCTTCTTCACTGACCTTGAAGTCTATAGGGTTGTTTCTCAACGTTTTTCTCCTCACTCCTCCCTCCCACAGCTGCTGCACAGCGTTTTCACCCTGTCTTAAATACATTATCACAGAGGTACCACCAGCGTTGCCCAGCTGAGGCCAGTGGCCAGTCCATTTTGGAGCTGGCTGGAACTGGCTCTGTCTGACACAGGGGGCAAAGGCCACTCCTGCAGCCTTTCCCCCATCCCATTACCAAAACCTTGCCACAGAAACCCAACACACACAATGAACTCCAGCTGCATCAATCTCTCCCAGTCTACCCACCATGTGTGCACCAGAAAATTTCATCTCTGAAATGTCTTAAACTACTGCTTGCCTGTTCCCCATGAGATTTAGTTATAGATAAAGTAAGTATAAAGTATATTTTCCCATTTCAATTTACCTCAGTCAACAGCTGAGGTCACATATGGATTATGATCCACTCTTGACACAGCAGCCTAGACTTGCAAAGAGGAGAAAACATCAAGTTTGAAAGCCCCTGCTCTAGAAAAATACACAGCTGTAACAAGGATCTGCTTCTTTTCAGAAGGCAGTGTGTAACTGTTCTCCTTTGAGCAAACAACTAGTTAGTACGAAGAGCATCACCACAGTTAAACATCTATCAGGAACATTCTAAACAAAGCAACACAGTAGACTTTCAGCTCACTGGTGTAAGCAGCACTTGTATCATGCAGAATCCATCTAATGTTTTATTTATCAGAGCTGTACAAGAATTCAAAGGCAATGTAAAAAATCCAGGATAGTCAAGCTACTTGTAATAACAACTGGTGAGATCCAGCAGGCCAGCGTGAGAGCCACAGCACAACCTGCATCAGCTCAAGAGACCGTCGACTGTTCACTGCCCCTCTGGTTACTTGTGGAAAACCATCACATGGAGCAGTTAGATGGAACAACCCGCAGCCAACCTCTGCGAGCAGGCCACCTTCCCACCCTCGGGGCCACCGCTGCTGGAGCGGCACCTTCATTTGCAGGGGATCACTTTATTTCCACTCACGGCAACCGGAATCAGGAGCTTCCTGTACTCCAGAGGGAGGTAACGCTCTATCAGCACGTGCAACGGCATCTTGTCTGTCACCAGCCCTTGTCTGTGATTGAAAAGGGGAGAGCAGAGAAGAAACAGAGAATCGTTAGTGAAAAGGGTTCCGTTCAAACGTAACGTCAGAGTAAAGTTTTCTTGCAGTGACGTTTTTGCGTTTAGTAGCCGAAATGCTGCTTGTGACAGAAAAGCTACAGACATCTATCTACAGGCAGCTCTCTCAGGTGATGCAAGAGGTCCTGCCTGACACGTTCATGTGGACCAGGAGATTTACTGGAGACCAGCTTCCCGCAGAGGTACGTGTTTTTCACAGTGAGAGTCAGCATATTGATCTGTACCAAAGTATAAACTCACTGCTTTTGAAATTCGCAACCCCCCTGCTGTGGGATAAATTTTACTGTTTAAAGACGTGCACAGGATGATGTCACAGAAGCAAACAGCTCATAACCCAGCAGATTTTTTACATTCACAATTCAGAGTTGGTTGGCATTTTCCAACCGTGTAGGCCATGTATTTTTCTGCTCTACCACTTAGTTGACTGGCTTGGAAAAAAAAAAATAAAAAAATCAGCATCTCCTAGTCTTGTAGAAAGGAAAAAAGCAGCTGCATTTATTTGTGCTTTCCTTGTGCAAGGAACAGAAACACTGTTCTTATTCATGCAAAAGTAACAATTCCTGACTCCTTCACGAGGCAGTGGAAGGGCATAAAGACATCTAGATCTAGAAAAAGGTAAAATAGCAATCGTACAGAATCCTGAAACGTGGCCAACTAAACCACCACACCTCAGCCTGTCTGTATTAACTTCAGCACACGCTTTTCAGGTGAGAAAACAACAATCTCTGGACCAGGACAGCAACAGATTATTCTTTTTAAGCAGCAGCACCAGCTTGATCTACCCACAAGCCCACGCAAAGCCAATGCCTTTAACCAGATGTGCCCACAAAATCCCTCAGATGACTTTAGCATCACACCTGAAACCCTTCCAGCGGAGACGAGGAATAACAACCTGGAATAATGACTTTAAATCAGTGAGGAATCTGTTCCAGGCCTCACAGATTTACAGAGGGCTCCCAAGTCAAGAACAAATCCCTCGTGTTTTGGTCACAGGACAAAGCAAATTCAGTCATGAGATGGGGGAGCTGAGGGAGCCCACAGGAAAGAGGGCAGTGGAGAGGCTCTGGGACCAGTCCATCCAGGCAGCCCGTCCCTCTGCGGGGTCTCGAAGAGGCAGCACGGAGGGGAACATGGCTGTTGGCAGAGGCCAGCCCTGGCCTGCCAGGCTGGAGAGGCTCCTTTTCCTGCTCTGGAGAGGAACTGTCAGTTTAAACCCTTAGTATCAGCTTTTGCAGAAGCAGGAAGAGTGGGATTTTGTTTGGAAAAGTAAGTCATCCAAACACATAGTCAGGCATGTGGAAATGCACACGGCCTGCACTGCCCGTTACTCTGCTCCTTCTACTGACACCACCATTTCCCAGCCACGACTGCTTCACCCTCGCACATCCCGCTCCTCTTGCTCCTTGTTCTTCTGACTCCTCCTGCACTGCCAACCCCTCACAGCTTCCTCTTGCCCTTCCACCACCTTCATTGTGGAGTATAAAAAAAGAATCAAAAGAAGTATCCAAAGGAGCATGGCCAGCAGGTCGAGGGAGGTGATTCTGCCCCTCTGCTCTGCTCTCCTGAGACCCCACCTGGAATACTGCGTTCAGCTCTGGGGTCCCCAACACAAGAAGGACATGGAGCTGTTGGAGCGGGCCCAGAGGAGGCCACCAAGATGATGCGAGGGCTGGAGCACCTCTGCTATGGAGACAGGCTGAGAGAGTTGGGGCTGTTCAGCCTGGAGAAGAGAAGGCTCTGGGGAGACCTTCCAGCAGCCTGCCAGTGCCTAAAGGGGCTACAAGAAAGCTGGAGAGGGGCTTTGGACAAGGGCATGTAGTGACAGGACACGGGGCAATGGCTTTAAACTGAAAGAGGGGAGATTTCAATTAGATCTAAGGAAGAAATTCTTCCCCCTGAGGGTGGTGAGGCACTGGACCAGGTTGCCCAGAGAAACTGTGGCTGCCCCATCCCTGGAAGTGTTCAAGGCCAGGTTGAATGAGGCTTTGAGCAACCTGGTGTAGTGGAAGGTGTCCCTGCCCATGGCAGGGGGGTTGGAACTGGATGATCTTTGAGGTCCCTTCCAACCCAAACCAGTCTATGATTCTATAAAGACCCAAGTCCACAAATGCCCTCCTGGGACAGAGGGCCAAGAGGCATCCTGCAGATTCAATCACAAGATACTACACTTACTGTGGAAATGCTGCTAGTGCACACCCTGGCAAGGACAGTCTCACCAGGTTATCAAAGCACCTCCGAGCACTACTACAGGTGAGTAATAACCCTTTACCTTCTCATGAGGACTTCCAGGTCAGCCATCTCCACTGTCTTCCTCCCCGCATGGTGGCTGTAAGCTTCCAGATCGCTGCTGAGCTGCTTGAAGTATCTCTCGCAGCTGAAGAAGGATTGAGGA